GGTATTCACAAAATACACGACTCCCACCCTCCTCTCCTCCATCTCCCACAGCTTTAATTCCCCACTAAAACTGTTACTTTTCAGACAATTCTCAACTGTAGAGCACAGGAGAGGGTCAGCTTTGGACTCTAAAGTTTCAGCCTGCGTCTGACAGAACAGACCAAACCTGCAGTGATTATCATGGTAAATGGTAAATGAACTGTACTTAAAGCACCTTTCTATCTTATCAAGACAATCGAAGCGCTCCAGCACTACAATCTGTGCCTCATAGCACTCTACTAGATCTCTACAAAGCTAATTGAACAAATCATTCTACAGAGAATAATCGGAGCTTTATCGCATTCATACACTGATGGGACACACATCAGAGACAATGAGGGGTTCAGTGTCTTGCCCAGGGACATGTTGGCATGTGACTGCTGGTGGATTTGAACCCCCACCTCTTGCATTGGCGGACGACTGCTCTAACCACTCAGCCACAGCCACACAGCCGCCCCCATCATCGAGTGCAAACTGCAGTTGCTGCAAAGCAGCCGGTGCGTGTACAGCCATGACCAGGAGTTCTCTCTCTGAACAGCTACGGCGTTTAAGTTTACTGGAAAACCTAAATATTCAACTGTGCGGCAGAAGTTTTTCAGTTGTTAGGCTTGTGGAAAAGAAATCGTTAACACAAACTGTATCAAAGCTTGCGGAGTGAATTCAGGCGTGTTGGAGATGTTCACCTTCAACCAACAACCCTTTGAACCCAAACACAAGACCTGCTCCAGCGTTCTCAAGGAAAAGCAATGCACCAAACTGCAGTGTAACCACGGCCAAACATAGCAAATGAGAAAAACACACAAATTGATTTTTTTTTTTTAAGAAGAAGTAAGAAAAAAAAAAAACATTTGCACAGATATATTCATCTTGGCACATCAAAGGGATTCATTGATGCCACTGAACATGGGGAGTCTGCGGCTGGAGAGGGGAGATGTTGGTTATCCTTTCCTCCGAGGGGGCAGAGATGCTCCTGATGGGCCCTGAGCTCGAGAAGCCAGAGTGCGCTATAAACAGAATTCCTAATGCCAAGCGGGCGAGTGGGTGGGTTTAGGTAGCAAACTAGCAGGCTATGGCGTAGCAAGAGGAATTGACGCCAGCCCGGGCTTTCCACAGAGACCAGAGTGGGAAGCATGCAGACCAGGACTGACACCATTTCGTACAGCTCTGTGCAGACGATGTTAGGAAGTGAGCATGAAAAGGAAATGCAAATGGAATGAAGTGTGTTGGCGCAAAAAGCCAAAACGAAAGGCTGGATGTGAGGCTAAAAACTGCTTCAGTTTGTGTCGCACTAATTACATCCGATCTTCGTTAGCCTTGTGCTTATAGGAGACGAACTGCGGTCGAAATATGTAACTATTTATACCGCAATCACGTCTTTCGTTCTCTCTTTGACGTCCTCCATAGGATTAAAAGATTATTCTCGAAGGTAATCACCCCCAAAACGCAAGGAGCTCTCAGCATTTCTGCGGTTGCTGGGGATCTGTTTCTAATTGAACAGTGCCACCAGATTGATGTGGATGTGTTTGACTTTGAAGAAAAACTCCTTTAAAAACTATAAACCTCGTCAAAAATGTTCGCTCTGTTGACACAGCGCTTGGCTGAGAAAATATTTGCACGCTAAGATTCAGGAATACAGCACAGACGGTTGTCAGAAGGTGAGCGCAGTACACTGTTGCCTCTGTTGCAAAATATCAACACAGCCTCACCTGAACGCGCCCCCTCCTCCTCCTCCTCAACCCCTGGCTCCTACAGACTTAGCACAGACAAACGTACTGCACGCATGGCTGCATGTTTGCTCATACTCACACACGCACTTGCACATGCACGCATGTGCACAGCAAGGTGAGTGAAACGCCAAGTGAGCCACCTGATGAAAAGACACCTCCACACAAACAGGCTCTGCCTTTGCAGGGAGAGGCCCTTTTATTCCGCCGGACAATGTCTCTGTTGACTTTTCTTTGTCTGCACATTTTTAAGCACCAAAAGCAGCAGAAAAAAAAAAAAAGCCACAGTCAAAGAGGCACGCAGCCGTAGCCAGCGACAAGTTCAGACTTATACAAGCTTTTCTATCTTGATCTCAAACAATTTTCTATTCAACAATCGTGCTCGGGAGTTTGGAGTGTCCCACCGTGTTATTTGATGAAGATATGTTTGAGCGACTGGCCTCGCTCTCGCCTACTTGCCACCTCTCACACACAAGAGGCATTTCGCTCTTGGGTGACGATGAGGATGATGTACAAGCATAGTTATCTGAAAGCGCTGAGGAAGGTGACAAGAGATGGCGTCAAGCAGAGTGTGTGTTCACCGTTTAGAACTAGCACCAGGCTGTCTCTGTGGGAACAATGCAGAGCTGCAAAGTGACAAACAATGAGCTGGATTTGTTAAGTCGAGTTTGGAGGTGTGTGTGTGGGGGGGGGGGGGGGGGCAATCAGGAACCTTAACCTCACAGCAAGCAGAAGTCTGGTGGAACATCTCTGCAAACATAAAACCTCCTCCTCAGCTCTCGGTGGATTACAGCGGAATGTCAGCTCTGAGCAGGCTTTAAATCAGTTCTGCTCGGCCCTCGGGGGAACGCTGTGCTGATCCCATGTAGGCCTGTCTCTCATTGCTCATGATGGGATTGCCACATTCAAGCTTGTTTTCATAAAGTTCAGGGCTTAAACCCTTTATCTTGAGTGAAATACTGCATCGCGACTCCAGAACAACATCTTGTGTTTGTTATAAAGCGGGCACGGCGCACTTTTGTGAAATTGCACTGAAGTCTTTAAAGGTAACGCCACAGAAAGTGAGACATGCATCCCGGAAATGGTATGGCAATCACACATCTGTAATTGTGAAAATGTTTACCCAAAGCTATAAAACTGCAGCTCCCCCACCATAAAATTAAAAAGACTCTTGCGGATTTCATTGCCGGGAGTTCATCTGTTCAACAGAGGTAACTTTCTCATGCAGCACAAGTACGACCACATACCACTCAAAGAAACAAATCACCCGGCCTCAGCAGGGTTTTCCAAGCCATGCAATATCACGAGGTGTTTGCCAAGTGCCAGGACTGGTTCGCACTTATCTCCCTACCTAATCTGCACGTTTCGCAGATTGACGACGCAGGATAAATTTTAACTGTGGAGCTCATCAGTTTAACCGAGCAGCCAGACAGACGTGCTCGCGCAGGCCGCTGGTAAATATCGTTCTCCAGATCGGACCGCAGGGATCGGCGACGAGCCACAGGTCCAAACAGCCCCAACGGCTAGAATGGGAGGCTAAAAAGGTACTAAGTTGAGCCTCTCATCAATCACACTCACAGCATTCACACTGAGCCATGAGGGCAGGGCAATATGGAGACCTTAAGACAACCGCTAAGTATGCCAGCTATTGTCTGCCGGCTTGTTTTCTGCTAGTGATGATTGACACGGTCAGCTCAGCCTGTCCCATTGACCTCATTCTGTTTTTCCCCCCACTCTCAAATATGGAGGATTATACTCCCCAGTTTAAAGAAATCCCTTCTAATTATTTGTTAATTTGCCTCACGTGAGAATACAATCAGGTTTAAATGATTTTTCTTTGCTAAAACATAAGTTTTCATGAGAATAAAAAAACTGGACATGCTGTTTTTGTCCCTCTACCAATACTAAAGGACTCGGAATAACATGATGCAGGTGAAATAATAAACTTTACCACCGTGAAACGCAAAAACCAACAACACAAGACAAGCTACAAGCGTCCTTTAGTACAAGGAGAGCAGCCATTTAGTTAATGAGCCCCAAAAGAGACCTCCAATGAAGCCAGCGGGGCTGCTCGGAATAACAATGGTCAACTAACGCCTTTCTAATTGAATGGAAGATTTGAGGAGCGGGCCTGAAACAGTGAAAAAGGAGACAGAAAGGTGGGGGGTGGGGGTCTCTTCAGTCAGATGCCTGCCAGGCCTTAACGAAAGTCCTTGTTTTTGTTGTTTTTTCAAGGGGGGTGATGAGGTTTGAGGGTAAAGGGGGATCATTTTAAGGATGTTTCCTTAGTCATATATGATATATGCCCCAAATGTCCCGCAAAGTCAGTTTATAGAAAATATTCACTGTGAGCTATTGCTCGACGTATGTGTGATTTATTACTGATGTATAACAGGTTCTCAGGGCTTATTGTTAACATGTGACATTTACACAACTTGTGCTGGAAAACATGCTACGTTAACAAGCGCTGCAAATACTTTATAAGCAGTTTTAAACTTGGTGAACCCACAAACGGTGCATCAGCAACACTTGCTTTCGAGTGCCAGGTCCTTATCTAGACATTTAAAGCCTCTGGACAACGTCTGTCACCGGCAGCTGCCTTTGCATGTGTGTCAAGGCGAGATATTACATTGTTGTTACTGCAGGATATAACTCAAGAGACGACCTTTTCCTCCCCCTGTGCTGCTTGAGCCTAAAGCACAGTAAGATGGTGGTTACCGGCCTGCACGGTGAAGGAAAGCCCCACCAAAACAGCAAAATGACTAAAACAAGTGCAAAAAGGAAACTCGTCTAGCTGCGGTGTATCTGGTTTTAAAACATACATCTGCCATAAATAAGCATTCGAAGAACAATAACCTTATCAGAGGTGAAATATAAAAAGAATAATGGTGATATGATCAGCTTCAAGAAGACAAAGTCCCTAAATAAGAATAAAAACATCCAGATTGGGTGTTTTTTTTATGTAAGGAAATATGAAGAAAAAAAAAACAATGAGTTTGAGTTCAAATGAGAAGTTGTCAGATGCAAAAGTTTGTGCATGGGTGGGAGAAATCCATATCTCCCCCCCCCCCACCTAAAAGAACAAAGAAGTAGTTAGCACTGCTCCTTGAGAGGCCACTTGGAGAGAATATGGCGGTCTGGCTGTGCACAAGGAACTTTTACGCACGGCCAAAAGTTTTTTTTTTTTTTTTTTTCTTTGCAGAGCAGGAAGGAAAGCGGATCCACCGGAACACTCACTGTTCTCGCGCTGGGGGACAGAGATCCGTTGGAGAGGTACGGGTTGGTGAGGTCTGGGATCATAAGGAACGGGTAGCCTGGGTAGTGTGGACTCTTAAAAAGGCCACCATCTTGCTGTCTTCTCAGTGCTGCAGAGGGGGGGAAAGGAAGAGTCAGGTCTCCTAACAGCACACAAGCCATATATATATTTATATATTAATTATTGTGGTTAAAATACTGCGGGTGTTTTTAAATATTTATGCATTCACCTTCACTGAAGTAGTCTCTTGTTTTCTCATAACTTTCTGAGTCGGCTCTGGTTTGGGGGCGCCTCTCCGCCTGCTGCAGGGGAGGACATGCACACATACACAAACAGGGGGGGGGCAGAAACTATTAAAACTCTACCCTGTTAATCACACTTCTCTCAGCACAGTTTGGGTCAATTCGTGCACTTTTTTTTTATTTATTTTTTTTACCTCCGAGTCCGACGAGCTGCTGTTATTCTCCGACTCGTTCACCAAGGAGGACTTCACATCATCCAGGTCCCTCTCCGCGGAGACATTTTCGGAGATCTTTTCCTCCTGCTCCCCTTCGTCTTTGAACGAAATCATCTCATCGTTGGCCCCCAAATCATCCCCGCCGCCTCCGTTCAGCTGTGGCATTTTTACGCACCGGTGGACGTGGAGGAAGAGAAAAAAAAAAAAAAACAGTTCACTTTTTGTTGTTGTTTTAGATCGATGTAGTCCAAAACGTGCCGCTGGTGTGAACTCTATTTGCAATAATAGTTTCAAAAGTCCTCTTTCATCCCGTGAAGTCGGCTCCGGGCTCCATCCATGTCCATAATCCACACTTTAGAAGTTGAACTCTGCGCGCCGCGTGAAGAAAATATCGATGAATGTTTGGCGTCTGCGGCCGGATGCGCAGCAACTTGGCAAAGTTTTGTCTCCTTTTGCAGCTTGTGGACAACTTGCGGTCCTCCTTGTATGTCTCTTGTGCTCCTGAGGAATGGAGGGGGGGTGGGCTTTCTCTCCTCCTACGGAGCTCGGAGACAACATAAACTTACGCAGCCCAACGGAGAGAAAGCAACAGTTCCAGTTTCATCTCCGTATATCCATGCGTAAAGAGGAAATAGATGGATTAGGTGGAGAAAAGGGAAAAAGAAAGGAAGAGGGGGAGGTTTCTTCACTTCTGACTCGCTTGCCTTCCAATATGAACAAACAGTTTGTTGTGCTCATCCACAAAGTTCTGCTGAAAGGGAGAGAAATGAGATTAATCTTTCAGCCGCTCGCTCCTTCCCTCCACATCGCTGCTGGAGAGAGTGCGCTCCGAAAAACAAGAAGAAGAAGGAGAGGGAGAGAAAAACTACTTGGTTGTTGAAGTGGAAGGAAAAAGCGCAGGCTGTCCGTGGCTGAGAGGAGGAGTTTGAGCTGAAAACCGACACTCCATTCAGCGCCATGCAGATCAGCTATTCTTAACCCTCTGAGCACCGAGGCGCAGCCCCCACACCAGCAGCTAACACCCACTGTATGGACAAGAAGAATCAAAGTAGATAAATATCACTGTGAATGATGATTCAGCATCCACACAAAGACAATTAGTTTCCTTGTTTGTTTCAGTCTATCTTTGCTGACTTTGTGCTGTTTCAGCCACTCATGTATCAAAGTGTCCATCTCATGCAGGAGATGCTGCTCTGACTTTTGTTTTGTAAACTTTTCAAAACCATTTAAGTTCCTTTAGGAGCTGTTACCCCACAGAAAATCACAGAGAACTCTTCAATTTCTTCAAAAACATTGGCTTGGAAAACTGCTGCAGCATGCTGCTGCTTTTAGTTTGAATGTAGCCTTTAGCTGTTTTTTAGCTTTCAGCTATCATTCTGTTCTAGCTAGCTTTTTGCTACTTTTTTTGCTTTAAGCTAGTTTTTGCTATGTTTAGTTTGTATCCTGCATTTGATACTTTTAGCATTTAGCTACCATTCTACTACTTTTAGCCAGTATTCTTCAATTTATGGCTTCTATAGCTTTTTTTGCTGGATTTTGCATTAAGTTAGCCTTTTGCTACTTTGAGCTTGTACATTTCAATACTTTTAGCTTGTAGCTAAACTTTTGAAACTTTTAGCTACTTTTGGCTACTTTTGGCTTTAAGCTAGCCTATTATTATTTTTAATTTGTATATTTGATACGTTGCATTCATCTATCATTCTGCTACTTTAAGCTAGCTTTTAGCTACAATTCTGCCACTTATGGCTTCTACCTAGCATTGCTGCCCTTTGCTTTAAACTAGCATTTTGGCTTTTAACTTTTAGACACAGTACTTTTAGCTTGTAGCAAACTTTTGTTACTTTTAGCTAGCCTTTTGTTATATTTAGGTTTTAGCTATCATTTAGCTACTTCTAGCTACCATTGTGCTCCTCCTAGCTAGTTATTTTCTACTTGTTGCTTTCAAGTTATCCTTTTGCTATTTTTAATTTGTATCCTGCATTGATACTTTTAGCAGTTAGCTACTTTAGTAGAATAGTATAGCATTTTGCTGTCTTTTGCTTTAAGCTAGCATTTTGGCTTTTAGCTTTTAAACACAATACTTTTAGCTTGTAGCAAACGTTTTGTTACTTTTAGCTAACCTTTTGCTACTTTTAGCTAGGCTTTTGTTAACTTTAGGTTTTAGCTATCATTTAGCTACTTCTAGCTGCTTTTGTGCTACTTCTAGCTAGCCCTTTGCTACTTTGTACTCTAAGCAAGCCTGTTGCTTCTTTTAGCTTTTGGCTTGTATTTTGCTATTTTTAGCTTGCAATCGACTTGTTTTAGCATTTGGCACATGTTCTGCTATTAACTGTATAGCATTTTTGCTTAATTATTTCTAATTATTATTATTCATGTAAATCCAGTGCTCTTCTTAGTAATTGTTCAAATAAATCTCAAGCGGGCGTTGTGAGCAGCTGACGTCTCCACCGCAGACCACGCTGCCTGTGTCTCAGTAAAGATGACAGGCCACACAGGTTTAAGTGACAAACTCCAAAATTACACGCTGCTTCTGCATAAATTGCACGTCTGCACCCGGGAGAGAGGAGGACAATGCACACTAACACCTGGGATAAGCAAGGCCCATTATGGCCCAACTGAAGGCATGACAGTGAGGCAAGAAGAGCAGCCGGGGCCGTGCGTGTGACGGGACACGCCTGCGCTGCTTCACTCTTATCCTTCTCCTCAGCAGGCTCAGAGCACGTTGCTCCATTGTTGGTTTGAGGAACAGGATTGTTGACCTGGTTTTGCAAGCAGTCTTGGAAGTACAGGGGGGGGGGGGAAGTAGTTACAACATCTTTATGTTTTTTTTCTGTTCTTTTGTTCTTGTGGAGCAACTTGCTTCTCAATTTTATCACATCAGTGTGTGTGTGTGTGTGTGTGTGTGTGTGTGTGTGTGTGTGTGGGGGGGGGGTGTTAGAGGGGAGAATACTGTAGATATGAAATGAAATGTGGCTCACGAAGAGCTAAAAAGTTTTTCCAACATAAGCAAGTTAGCAGTTTTATTGTTATTGTTTTGGAACATTTCCTCATTCCAGCTTCACCTACAGTGTCAGTCCAATGCCAGTGGACCTCATACTTTTCTTTCTTTTTTTTTTTTTTTTTTGCTGATGCCATTCGACAGGCTGCTCTTGTTTAAGAGAAGAAGTCATTGATGTTGACTGTGTGTCAGCGAGCTGAAGGTTGACTGACAATTCAGCGGTGTCTCCATGGGCCTCATTAGATCCCCAGATTCCTTCTGGGTGTTTCTCTCTGTGTGCGCATGTGTGTGTGTGTGTGTGTGTGTGTGTGTATGTATTTGTATTCAGTTTAAAGCAATATATAGGGCAGCCGCATACTGAATCCTCTATGAATTTCAGTAATGGAGGAGATCTCACGCACAGAAGTGCACTTGCATGTACACACACACTGGTGAAGATTTGGCCTCCGGGCAGCACATCGTTGGTTTGTGTGTGTGTTTTAAGGGGGGTACAGAATGCAGAGAATGCACCAAAGACATTTGTTCATCCAGATTCATGATTCAGCCCGCTGGCTTGATACGAATTCACAACATCCTCTTTTTTTTTCTTTTTTTTTTAATAAATGCAAAGCAGAGAATATTCTTTCTTTTTCCTAAATGGATCACATGTCAAGTTGTTATAACCCCCCCACACACACACACACACACACGCACATTTTGTCCCAGCAGGTGGGATTACAAATATTCAGTGCTCATCCACCATGGCCTTCTAAATGATTAATAAAGAAATCAAATATTAAAACAAGTCAACGCCGGAAAAAAAAAATAAGAACGACACGCAGAGGCAGCAGCTCGACAAGCATACCTCTTGAATAAGGACATCTTGCACACCCATACACACACACAAGTTGGAGCAGTGTGTTACAAAGCACCACTGGCATGCAGTAAGTAGATTGTTGTTCTGTAGCAGTACAGTGAGAAATAATCCAGTTTATCAGTCATGTTTTATTCAAGTGAGAAAACAACAGTTTCATCATTACAAGCACTTGTTGGTTCGAGTGGAGCACAAAACCTGATGATTGTAAATCAAATTCTTAATGCAAAGGCCCCTCATGTTGCACTTTAACCTTTTGTATAATCTGATAATCTACTGCTTGGTGAAAATTGTATCCTAAAGTCTCCCGTCTGCTGCCTTGATGGGGAGAGATGGGTTGTAACGGGGAGCTGATGAGGGGTCAGGAGAGATGCGAACAGCCACAATCTTAGCCCGGGGGCAGATCGACTGGTGGCCAGGAAATTTATTCAGAGGGAGCTGTCCCTGCATCTGCCTTACTTTGAAGTTGCTCTCACAACTCTGGCATGTCGTACGTGACTGTGTAGTGATTTTATTTTTTTTTTCTCGCTAAAGAAAGTGTGAAAAAGCAGAAACGGAGCTGTGGCGTGTGCCAGCAGCACACATGTATACGTGAAATGTGTTCCTATTAGTGTATGTTTGTGCGGTGCTCTGCTTGTGTGTGTGTGTGTGTGTGGTTGATGGAGAGAGCAGAAGACAGAGTCCAGGAGAGATGGAGAGAGAAAGAGGCTGCGTGCCAATCCATGGTGTGCATTGGAGAATTCAAGGTCATCCTTTCATGTTTTGCCAACCATCGGTCAATCAGTTTCCAATCAAAGTGGTGCCTAATTCAGCACTAATTCCCATCGTCTCAACCCCCCTCCCCCCACACACAGAGAGTTAAAGCAGTTCCTGTCTTCTCTATGATCTGCAGCGGTGCGTCCAACATGCCTTGCCAGGCCAAATCCACCCTGTCAAGTTCTCTAATATTACCAGAGAACGTGTGTGGAGAACATGTCAGATCACACAGTGAGCTAATGTGGAGCTCCAACTCGACTCAGGAGATTTAGATTTCACTCGATTGTGTCTGAAGTGGACCAAAGTCACGGTCTTTCATTGGAGGGGAGAGTTGATCAAAATGTCTTCGTTTTCTTTCTTTATTTATTTTTTTCTCATCTTGAATTCTAAAGATCGAGGGAAATTTTGCACACCTCAGATTACACTGATTACAGCTTCCTAAAAAGTTAAGTGGTTTATATTTTCTGATTGGAATCTAACAAGGCAACTTGGAAATTATGCCTTTTTTTCATTAAAATAAAAGTTTTTTGAAAGTTTCTTATATTACATGCCAATTGTTTTACATACAGGTATCACGTGATCTGTTTGCCCTCAGAGTATAGGTAAATGATCACTCTCAGGTACTACCACATGAACGTTTTAGCCCAAAATCTGTAAAAATCACTGAGTTATTACCGCTTTGGTGTGTATCAATTTCAATTAACTGATTTACAGCAAGTGAACACCTTCTCAAACTTTCAATAAAATCTGCCCAGTGTTTCATGAAATATTTTGCTAACAGACAAGATAAATGAATACAGTAGTCGCTTGTTTGACTTTCGCGGCCTTGCTCTTTCGTGGTTTTTCAAAGTAAGATTGAACACGAGGAAAAAAGTTGTACACGACACACGATTGTCAACTTTAATGTTATTCACGATTGGGACAGTACTGGATACTGTACAGTAAAAAGTTAACGAAAAATAGAATACTTTGGACAGGCACTGACATTTTGTAGTTTTCTTTCAATAAGCCTATACTGAATTCCCACTTATAAGACTACATTTTCCAGAAGTGAACAGTGCCTTGCCCAGAATCCTCGTTGCCTTCTGCTGAAATACGTAGAGGGAAAGTTTTGATCAGATCCGAAAAAGTTTGATCCTTTACAGTGACTTTGGCGTTGCAGCGGATTCAGAGAGCCACATGGAACTGGACCAGAACCGGAGAAGGACTGGACCCCCAGTCTCATCAGCAAACCCGAGAGCTGGTAGC